GCTTAATGACAGAGGTTAGCTAATATTATTTACATCCCATTCTGTCACCCCATATTTTACTTCCTTTTCTCTTTTCACCTTTTCTTTTTCCATGTTTCGTAGGTTTAATAATGCTCCACTTTTAAGATCTTGTTTCGTGTACAAGTATTTACAATATATTCGTAGATTTATATGTTGCTTTTTATATCTTTAAATACAAGTAATCTAGCACAAACCGTCGCACTGACGAGGTCCAGTTGTGGTGCTGATAAGGAATGTATATGACATAATGGGCCAAAGCATTACTTTCCAGTAATTCTCATCTCTCTTCTCTCTTTATTTTCACACACTGATTATTCCATTCCCGATTATAAGTTACGTTTGCACACACTTTCTCACAAACTAATTCCGAACAACTACAGTTAAAAAGTGTTTGAGCTATGTGCACCCAGAGTGAACTCCCCAACCAAGAAGACAAAAATGGAGCGTTGAACATGGATTGCACCAAACACAAAAAAAGAACCAAGACGATGTCTCGGTCGCTGCTTGGCGCATCCTCAAGGACGTTTCCGTAGTACCCCGTTTTAACAGGTGAAGCGACCCACCGTATGCTGCAGACCAAAGTGCATATCATCCCGGTTGATGAAAAACGATACTGTATGTGGCATATCAGTATAACAGGCCCAGAGAAATCGATGGTGAAGAGATGAAGCGTCAAGTCGAAAATACCGACTGGACCGTAATGGCGAATATTGATCAAGACCATAAATGCCTTGTTGATAAGATTCTTTAGTGCACGGAACAAGCTGAATGTTCTCGATCTCGGCGGTTAAACTGGAGGATCGTCACAAAAATGCAATTACAGGAGAGAAGAAACATGAAAAAGGGTAGAATACAAGATGTGGACTACTTCCGTCGCTGCAAGTATATTAAGCGGGAGCTGAAGGATGATCCCGCAAACTACAAGTGTCGACGGGAGGTAGATACGGTTCAAAAAAAGCAGAGCCTGAAGAAATGCCAGAGAGGATGATTGTGTACTATCCCGCAGTGGCAGCATCGAAGGACGGAAGTGGATGTCGGGTGAGGAATCGAATAGATATGGGGAACAGTTAAAAAAATTCTGCACAAATCTGTTTGTATCACGCACCGACATTACGACTTTTGTAATTCCTGCCACCAAGCAGCAAATCCCTCGATCATTTTTCAGCGAGGTAGGGCACACGGCTTTCCAAATGAAAGTGGTAAGGCTCCCGGAAACGACGGCACTAACATGATTAAATCCGGAGGGCACGGACTTTGAAAAAATCTCGTCATTAGGTTCAGTTGGCGCTTGGCTGAAAGAAAAATACTTAGCAGTTGGGTAAAGGCCAAAACGGTTTTGCTGCACAAAAGAGGCGATAAGGAAGATCTGAAGAGGCACCGCCCGATCTGCTTACTTTCCTGTATTTACAAGCTGTTGACAAAGACTGCTACTAATTGACCGACAACACTCCTCGATTAACAGCAGCTGAGGGAGCAAACTGGATTCTAAAGTAATTACAGCAGGATGGAACAAATTTAGATGCCGGAACGTACAAGGGAGCACCCAATTCTCCTTTTCCTCGTATTCATCGATTACGAAAAGGCATTTGATAGCGAGCCGAATGCTGTGCAGCGAGGTCTTGTGGATGAAGGGACTGGTGGGAACTATTTGGAAATCGAAGCAAACATAGGCTATTTGGCGAAATAACACTTTTTTCCATTCTAAACCACATACCGATCGAGAGGGAAGTAAGCAAGATGATTCTAAATCATCCAAGCTTTTCGCAGCCTGTCTCGAAGTGGTGTTTTGGAAATTCGATTGGAAATCTGGTCTGAATATAAGTGACGAGCGGCTAAATCATTTGCGCTTCGCGGGTGACATAGTACTTATTGCCAACAACCTCAACGATATAAACGGGATGCTGCAGGAGCTGAACACGAGAAGTAACGAAATGGTTTGAAAATCAACGCATCGAAAACAAAGGCGATGCAAAATTCCGCTATGCCCATGACAAGATTACAAGGTAGACGATGTAGACTTAGAGTAAATTGACAGTAGAGTCTATCTTGGACAAGTGAACATGCACTACAATTTCTAGACGGAGATTGCATGTCGAAGGGCTGCTCTTGGCGAGAATTCCACAGCATCGTCGACGTCAATTATCGTAAGTTCCTAACCGAAAGGACCGTGCCCACCTTTTCAACAAAGCTGGGTTGAAGGCAATGAAATGCAGATGCAAAACTTAATCACTAACGAAGGCTGAAGAGCAAGCACTGGCAATTGAGCAAAGCATGCTTAATGTATCTCTTCGCGACTATACAAACAATCAGACTCCCCGTCAGATGAGTGGCATGCAAGATATCATAACGACCACGCAAGAAAGTAAAATCGGTTAAGACATGTTACACACTTTGCTTACAACCGGTGGACGATACGTATTAGTGAGTGGTATCCCCCAGAGAAAATAAATGATCACTCGAGCGACCACCGAAGAAGTGGCGCATATACATAGAACAGGTGGTGAATATTACTTGAAGGTATGCAGTCTAGGACCGAAGGGCCTGGCATAGCTGTGCTCAGCGTGTGGGAACATCCTAGTAGCATCACTACCAGGGGAATTCCACGCTGCTAGTCCGACCGGTGTTCATCGTATTCCTGGTATCGGGACTATTCCTTTTCTTCTCCTGCTACCACTATATTTTTCCTTCACGTTGGTAATAATTAGAACCGATATTAAATTCTCACACCCTGCCATAGTGTGCCTCACAACTGCATATGCGAAAACCCAGCAGGATAAATCCCTGCCTCTCTTCAACCTATCTCAGGAGGGCGTGCAGCTTTAGCTAGTTACTTGCGGACTTTTTGGAAAATTTCCCCCGTCCACTTTTGGTCTTCAAAAAAAAAAAAAAAAACCTAAAATTTACTGTGTTTTACTTCGAGGAAATTTCTGCTTCGTTAAACCAGACACTTGTTTTCTGAAAAATTCAAAGCTAGCAAGCTGCGAGACCAATTGCATACGTTAATGCCGAAACACTATCCCACGCGTGAAAACACTCCCATAATTTAGTCTGTGAAAGTGATATGCTGCTTGGAAGAAATTCGAATAAGAACAATTGTCTGGTACCAGTATGTGATGTTTAGAAGACTCTTTACTACAGGACACTTGTCATTTTATTAAAAAGTCAGTGCCTAAGTCAATGAAGAGTGACCAGAGGTAATAAAGGGCGGCACGCACCAAGGTAGCTGGTGCGACCATGCGTTTTTTGTAGATTTGTCCACCGGATGCTTACTGTATGAACGCTCGCGTACTGTTTGAAATGTGCAGAAATTGTTGCAATGGTCTGATCAAATAAAGCATTCATGTGTCTGTATGTGAGACCTGGGCAAGCGCAAAAACTGAATTAAAACTTGAGGGGTTGCATGTCAGTGGAGAACATGCTCCCAGAATTTCAACTTCCTAGCTCTTCCAATTCTTGAAAAAACCTGGACAAGCTGCACTTGAAACACACGCATACACAGAGGGTCGTGACAATATACGTTCTGTGCAGTTCTTGCAGCACAAAACAGATAAGACTTATGTTGATAAAGTCAAACGGTCATACAAAATAAACATGAAAATAGAGGCAACAATCAAAGGAAAAGAAATTAGGCAGTAATAACAGTAGTAGTAGTAGCGAGATACAATTGTAGAATGCATAAAAATTCAAGATAATATCGCAGGATGAAAATACTGGCGCTGTGAGTATCAAATTATGTGAATTTAAAAAGGCGATTCGCAAATGAAGCTACAAACTGTGACATAATAGGCAAACAATGGCGCAAAAAAAACAAGAAAAATACAACTGTTCTGGAAGGAATTTTAGCAGGCAAAGGAAAAAAAACAGTACTTTTAAGTTACATGGAAGGCATAAATTTGTACAAAAATTTTCCATAAAAAAATTGCATGAATAAGAAAAGGTCTTAATACAGCGTAATAGTCTTCGAAAATGCTTATATTGTTCGTTATCACGGGGTTCATTGCGAAATATAACACCCACATATAGAGTAAAATATCAACAGATAAAGCAGTTGGGCAATGACAGATAAAGCATTACAATGAAAGCAAAAACAATGCAATTCGAAAAATTTTCACACCAAACTGATTAGAACAATATCATCTGCGAAGTCAATCATAACTAGATACTTGGATACTTCGATCATCAGTAATTCATTGTCCGGTTTTTCAACTATGCAACTGGAAGGTTTTTCAGCCGACTTGTCCATCGCTCGGTAGTCAGCCTGTTCGCGATCCCAACATTGGTTTTACCTTCCAAAGGGATTACTAACCTAGCAATCCCCCCGGCACGAGCATCTGGCAAAGCTTTAGATATTTTCACGATGTCACTGATCTGTGTGTCGAGTAATGCGAGCTCGTTTCGAACGCAGCGCTTGTCAAATTTTCTCACTTTTCGAATTTTCATTTTAAACAACCTGCATCAGACTGCTGTTTTAAAATGAAAATTCGGAATTTCAATTCAGTCCCATACAGCCGTATATATCCACAGATCTCTATCTCGAAAGTTTTGTTTTTAGCTCGTAAACCTGCATTATTAAAAAAAAAAAAAAAAGAATAGAGCAATGGTATGCTCCGTTGCCAGGAACTGCGGAGGAAAGACGAGAGAAAAGAATTAAAACGTACTTCGACTTCCCTCCTTCGCACTTGGCTTACTTAAAGTAGCATTTTTCTAACGTCTTAGCGCAAAAGTATAATGTTTTTAAGTTCTACAATCAAAAACTTCCAAATTGTCTTAATTGCTCTTTTTCGGCTAATTTTGCACCTCCCCTCTTCTCCCTGGTTTTGCCTCTGGATCTGTAAGTCTTTAATAAGTGGCGCTGCAAATTCAAAAATATTTGCGCCTAGTATGAACACAAAATATTTACACATTGACAATTCAACGATGAACAATGCTAGAGTGAGCAACGATGATGACGACAACAATAATAATAATAACAATAATAGCTAAACATTCGACTCGGGAGTAATTTTCAGTGCAAATTTTGAAGTGGATGACTGCTGCTCGGTGAGGTTGAAAAAGGGGAATGAATGGAACGAGCAGAGTAGCTGCACTCCAGCATCATCGTCGCGCTCGTGACAGCGCAATACGAACACTGTACCATGCCGGATTGCAGCAGATGCCTGGATGTTGCATACAATTGACCACTTTGCTTCGCCCACGCGCTCCTCAAACAGCAGAAAAAGATGAGTTCACAGAGTTCGACGGGACCTCACTACAGTATGCTAGTAACAAGTAAAAGAATCGTAACTATTTGAATTACAACGCTTCCCAATGCTAAATTTAGAAAACTGTGCACCATATTCTGGATAAGTCTAGATCGCTACGAGAACACCGGCAGTTTAGAAAATACTGAATTTTTTGCCATCACAAAAAAAAGTGCATGAAGACACCTAACACAGGTAGTTGCGTAAAAGCGAAGGAAAAAAAAGTGCACCCAAATGCTTTTCCACTGCTTTTCAGGAGAAACGACAGGGCCCTTGAAATTTCGAGCAGTTATCCGGGGAAAAATCGACCTCATTTTAGAGATCCCACAGCACGCGTCGCTGCGACAGGATAAATAACCCCCCACCAAGATTTATAATTAATCACGGAACGCCCTCGGTGTGTGTGTGTGTGTGTGTGTGTGTGTGTGTGTGCGTGTGTGTGTGTGAAATATGTTGGAGAATGGTTACGAATATAACATTCTTTTACGTAGCGTAAAACGCATAAAAACCAACACGTTGACAAACCGAGTTTTATGTCTGTGTGTGTGAAAAGTACTCAACACCTTGGATAACAACTGAAGCGGTCCAAGATAACAGCGGGCCTGACAGAGCTTCGCATGGTACCTAACCGCATCCGAGAGTTTCACACCGACAAAGGCCACGAACCTAGTGAACTCATGACAGACAGCAAATAAGCTAACCGGGAAAGGAAATTTGGACGAGAAGAATCTCTGCAAAAAAGTAGCAGCTGTGAAGCGAAGCGAAAGGCATCTGGCGAGGTGCGCCACCACTTGGTCGGCAGTATGGCGTGGCTGTTGTCGAGTGAGCTTTAGATACTTGTTCAGAGGCCTTGCAATTGCCGAAAACACTGCCTGCGCTGCTCCAAGTGCTTCCATTGGCTCTCCTAGTACCTGTAACACTGGTCTGTTTCACGTAAAAAAGTCCTAATTTAAAATATTTTTAATTCAGTAAAAAGCTAGGAACTTAATACCGCCTTTTGCTAGCATTATCATAATTCATATTCTGCTTATCCCTCATCTTGAAACCAAGCTTCTTTTTTCAGAAACACTTAAGGAACATTCTAAAATTTCCAGCTTTGATCGCTCCCCATTTTAATAAGAAAATCGTGACTTTTTTACCGCGTCATGGCTGTAAATTCTCGAAATTCCCAAAAAAAGCCATTTTGTTTATCATCCAAATCTGCCACTTGCGCCTCGTACTGTTTCTCATCCTATACTGAGAAATTTTGGCAAAAAATCAGTGAATGCTGAGAAAACGGGTTTCTGGTGAAAAGAGATAAATGCATCTATACGGCAATTCACAGCATACCTACAGGACCAGCTATGTAATAGACAAAATGGATATGCCATCTGAGGATATAACCTTGTTTTGATTATTAGCCGTCACACTCTGCACACTAGCGAATGCTTCCTCCGTGGTACTAATCAGGCGATATTTACGTTTCTGCACTCTCCGCTCCCATTCCATGATTTCGTGGTAGCGTTCATTATGTCCACCGATACGTCTTTTTGCAGCAGCTTCCATAATTGCTCGTGCACTGGCCTCCGTTATCGTGCATTCGTTGCCCAGGCCTTCGATGTCGTACATTTTGAAGCCAGCTGATGGTGGCTGCGACAAACCTAAATTACACTCACTGCCTCATTCCCAATACAAAATAAAAAAGTGCCGCATTCAAAACACAAGGATTCAGTGCACTGATGAGGTAGCACAGATTAACTGTTTTCAGCCCAATGGTGCCAGTCTCAAGAACAGTGGTACCACCGAGCAGATGATAACTTCCAGTAGAGAATTCAAACAATAACAGGCTATGCTTCTAAACAGCAGCTGATGGTTTGTTGCAGCTAAGGCCTCACAAAAAACAAGGGAGGGAGGCGGGATAGGATGGAGGACGGTAGGACAGGATGCAAGTGGAGAGTCGCGGGATTGGCAAAGAGTGGAGAGCGGTAGGGTAGGGTGGAGGAAGGTAGGAAAAGATACGAGTGGAAAGCCGAGGAGTGGCTGAGGGTGGAAGGCGACGGGAGGGTGGAGAGTGGTGGGACAGAGTGCGAGTGGAAAACCGCGGGACTGGCTGCAGCTGGAGGCGCAGTGGAATACGCTGAAAGGGGGAGGACAGGGTGCGAGTGGAAAGCCGCGGGATTGGCTGAGGGTGGAGGGCGGCGCGGCTGGTGCTTGTGAAGGGCGATGGGATTGGGTGCCAGCGGAGGACGGCAGGATAGGATGCGGGTGAGGGGCGGAGTGACTGGGTACTGGTGAGGGGATGAGGAGGGGAACCTCTTCGAGTTCACCAATTGCCTGTTTCCCTTCCCACTGACACACTATTTTTCAGTAGCGTTTCGAAGCAAGGCCTAGGTGGGCGAACGATCAATTCGTGGAAGATCGCGAAGTTCGGGGGAGGTATGAAAACATCGTGTGCATGAGCATAGAGGGTCTAGGATGGACTTCTGGAAGGAAGAGCGAGGAGGGACATGCGGGGCGAGGGGAGGGGGAGGGAAGAATGGGGTAATGGGAGTGGAGGAAAGGCCTCCTCCCACCCTGCAATTATGCAAAAACTAGGAGCAGAGTTGTAACAGTGCTACTCAGAGTTGCTTTATTTATGAACAGACCCGGGCTTTTGCAACACTGATGCTTGTGCTGCTGAGGGATCCGCTTGTAAGGAGTATAAGCCCGAACTAGGGAAAGATTGATTCTCACAAATCTACTTGCGTAGAAATTTTGCGGCTAGAAAAATGGAAGTATGCCAGCATAGGAATGCACAACTAAGTCATAAATGCAGTCAGTGAGACACAGTTTTAAAAATAAAAATTATCTAAAATAATCCTGGGGTTTTGCTCGAACGTGGAAGCACTAGACCTAAGCAAACAGGCAGTTCTCTTAGTGAATATGAACAAATGAATGACTTACCAGATCTGAAATGCATTGATCCTCCACTGAGAGCTTTATCCAAATACGGGTTATAGGATGGAAACGAAGCGTAGTACTGACGAAGTACGTGAACAGCGGCTTCTTGGATACTCATCATTCCAAGCGTAAACGTTCGACTTTCCCCATCCGGATCTCGCACAACGCACACCGTAAATTCGGGCCTCAGCGAACGTAGCTCCAGTACAATAACGGTGGCGTAGTGAAAGTACAGCATGACATCGAGTAGTGAAAGAGCGAATGTAACAACCACATTGTAATTCCCTTCCTTCTCGAATAATATGCGGACAGTGTAGAAGAGCCAGAAGGCGAACAGAATGAATGTGGCCAGGAATGCCAGTGCAGCGCGATGGAAAAACAGACGTGGCAGATCGGCGGCCGCATGACGAAAGTACATTGCCCAAAGTGCTCCGAGCAGAAGCAGTGTTTTCATCGCCAGATTCAGCATCATCCCCTGACAGTCGGCACCACAGAGCATCTGAAAATCACACTCATCGAACTCTCAAACTCAATGCCACAATGTAACCTCTGAGCTTGTCTATATCGCGCGAATCGCGGCTGTTATCCGAAACTCTTCATGTGACCTCTGATTCCTCCGCCTTGACAGAGCATCCTAAGAAAAGAACTAGTAAAAAAATGAACTGAAGGGACATAGAAGTGAAGAAGGCATTTCTTTTCGGAAAAATGAAGAAAGAACTCAGGCAGATGGCGCAGTTTCGGACAAAGCAATCACAAATAAGCTGCCGTGCGCTATTATCAAAGTAGCGAAATCTCAAGTTTTGCTCATTCCGGAAATTCCGCATTTGCAAAACATGTACACTTTGCCATCGGCGTCTGTTTTTGCAAACTGATTGGAAAGGGTTTTATCATCCGATTATGCGACCAACAAAGTTAGCTATTTTTGCAATATCTTAGTGCATCCATGGCTGCTATAAAATCCCCTAGGATTATTCGCCAGGATCACTTGCAGCCCCATGCAAAAGATCTTCCAGCTCTGTAAATCATCAAATTTGGTTCCAGCCCTCAAAAAAAAAAAAACTCCCTCTACTGCGCATAGCGCTTTGCAACTTACCAAAAAAAAACAGTGAAATTGGGCGAGAAAAAAAATGTACCTCAGGCCAGTCAAATCCGAGCCGATACAAGATAACTGGGAATGCAACCATGGCGGGCGATGAGAAGACAGCTACAAATGAAATTACTGAGGCACTGGCAAGCCAACAAATCCGTGAACATCGCCTGGCAACCACACGTCCCACTGGAGCAACAAATGCACGTTCCGTGAGGCCACTGTATGAGTGCTCACTTGTGCTGCCCGTGATAACGGTAGTATTTTCGGCCCAATTATCCTCATCACCAACTGTCAACTTGACACCCTAAAACCGTAAGCAGATTTGACTCCTGTTTATAGAGTAAATTGTAATTCAAATTCCCAGCTAAATCAGAGAATGTCGAGGTGAGTAGCACAGGGGACCAAAAACCGCGTGGCCAAAACCTCAGCTTTTTAGCTTATCCATTCGTGGAGCTGCTGAAAATGCGCGACTAACAAACAGACAGGGTCCCCATTGTTCGGTGTTGCACTGACGTATGAAAAAATAAATAAATAAATGAAAATAAAAAAACAAACTTCACTTGCGGCGGCAGAAAAATGTGGAATGAATGAGGCGCTAGCGTCCGTTGAGCCAGCACGACCTCGCGAGAGATTTCGTGCCATTCGCAAGTTGCGGTGTGAGGACGGTCGTCGTCCGGAACTCTCGGACACCACCGACATGGATAGCCCGTTGTCGCGCAGCAGCAGCCACCCAAACTGAAATGTCACACATCTCATTATGTGCTTCATAAAGATGTAACATTTGTCAACATCAGAGTCTGCTTCTCCAGCTGTACTGCTGATATAGTAGCTTTTTCTTGACCAAAGCGAAACGGTCAGTGTTTGGCCATTCTGACGTCCACTTTGTCTTGGAAGCATTATCAGCTCAAAGATTCTTCTGACAGAAGCACTTGGCAAGGCTTTAATCTTTTCGAAGTCTCCTTTGGTGCATGCCTGTGTGTAGCCCACATCCCGAACGTTGCCATTGTGTTAGTTCCCTGCTGGTCCAAACGACACCTTCAGAAAATCAGAGGAGTGGCTGCATGCATATTACTCCAGGATAAGACATAAATAATTCCTACCGTTAACTATATATAAATTTGAGGATTTGCCACGTAGCGCACAAGAACCGACACATCTGCTGCTCCCTAAATATCAGGATAATGTAGAATTTGTTGCAATTGCATATGCATTTTCTTTCGAGGACAAGCGCAGTTCACGATTGACGCTAAATGTGCCCTATTTTTTGTTTTTCTAAAAATTTTGCTTAAATTTTGGCATTTTTATTTTGAATTACTGAATTCCTATTAGCAACACTTAACGCGTGCGGAACAGGTTACTTATCATTCCCCAATTTTTATAATTTTTAATACTCAGCAGGTTCCACACTGCCACCTTTAACAGCACCACGCATTTTCATTTTAATTACAATTATTCTCAATTCACACAAATTTATAATTTGATTTACTACACTTAGTACCAAATAGTCGCACTGACCAGGTCCAACTGCAGTGCTAAATGGGAATGTAAACAACCCAATGTACCGGAACCCTTCTCTTCACCTGACTAATTTTTTAGTATTTTTTATAAATGTCACTACTGATATCCTCATGGAACTAATCTAGATGCCTCGACTAGCCAGATTTAACGCTTTTTTTGGCAAATTTTGCAGCCTGCCCTTTGAAATCTTGTGCCAAATCCAGCCCCGTCCTTTGCACCCTATATACTGTTTCTCTCTCATGGACAGCTGTGATTTCTACCGGACTGCACAAGAAAAAAACAACAACATCCCCGTCGTCTTTCCGCCATCCTCCACCCTTCCCCCTCACAGCACCACGTCGGTATTACATATCTCACGAGTCTCATCAAATTTAACTTTCCACAGTTAAAAATAGAGCGCTAGTTCGTAATCCGATTAGTACTACAGAATTATCCTTATTGGTAAGACTGAAGAGTACTTAGATCCGAGGCCAGCTGAAAAAAGTATCAACGATTTTTCACGCAAAATTCAGGTTTCCTCCCGATTCCAACCCACTTGATTCCTCCCGAATTACCTAAGCTACAGGCGCGTTACTTTGCAGAAGCCAACCTGCCACCGGCTTACCCGTAAGCAATTCTCAAAAGGGGAAGCCGATGACAGACTTGACAAATGGTTACTACTGGCAATTGCTATCGCTCCAGCTAGTTCGCGAATGCTTAGGCCTCTCACAACGAGTGAATCCGGAAGGTGTTTTGTCTTAATAAAATCAGGTGAAATTTCACAATACTAGTTTAGTAAAACAACGGCTTCATTTTTATGGACATCAAGAAACCAATAACAGAAAAGCGGATGTTTGATGACCGTCATCCGAGATCACTACAGAGGTATTTGCAAAGCTACACCACTAAACCAGTTGCAGACAAGCTTACACCCTGATCTGCTGGGGAACCCCCACTGCACTCAGAGCGGTTCAAGCAATACCAGCGCCTCACCCGGAAACCTGAAATTTCTGTCATACTGGTCTCAATCACACGCGGCGTTAACAATAAAACTCATCTCAAAATGAGGAAAAAAAAAAACCACAGAACATATGAAAACGAAAGCACAGAAACACGAGAGTCAAGGAGAACCCGTTGCGCGAGTATGTCATCCTCGAAAAGAAAATTCTGGATACCATCCTCTCCCATCCTAACCCTTTTGCCTCGTTTCGACCTCAGTCGCCGGCAATGTTACAACTCACAACTGGCTTTGTGTTCTCTCTCTCTCTCTCTCACTCACCAATGCCATGTTATTTTCACGGGTATCGTCAAGCCTGCTCCCTCCTGAACGAGCTCTCACTCCTCAGCCCTCAATCCTGAATCGGTGCCTCTGTGAGGGCTCTCTGTGTAAAATTTGCTTAGCTGAAAAAAAGTGCTGTGATTATATTCGTCAGTGGAGTTTTCGCAGCTTCCTCTTAACTCACCCCGTTTCCTACTCGCTGCCTCCCTCCTCTGCCAAGCTGTTTGGGAAATGTCCTCTCAAAAGGGTGCGCAGGCCAGACGCACATCTACGATGATGCGAATAAATTCGCAGTAATTTTTGCGGATTTTCCAGGATCTCTTCCCTGCTTTTCTTTTCTTTTCACCTATGACTTCATCCTGTCTTTCACGTTCTCCTATTTTTTCCCTTCCTACTTTTCATGTTGGCATCTTCTCCTCTCTCCTTCCCCGCTTCTCCTTTTCTCCTTTCTTTGTTTTCTATATCTTTACTTCTCCCTGAAGCGCTGTGACCGTCATACTGACGAGGTCCTGTTACAGTGTTGTGTGTTAAAGCGTATATGACTTAATGGACCGAAATGTTTTACCTCGATCTTTCTGTCTGGTATTATATTTTATTGCAATCTTCCATTTTTTATCAATTAAGCATCTAGGCCTGCCTTTGCTAATCACCCTTCACAGGAGCAAATTAAGAGCATTTTGATTGTCCTGCTAAATCACTGCATAAAATCCTGCAATGTTTATCTGGAGAGTAAGTAGCTATAAGCAGATGAAACTGAGTAAATTCTACAGCTATTGAGCTCACATCTCGCAACAAGTCTAAGTGATTCTCGCGATGATGATTTTTAGGAACCACAATTTCAGGGCCTCAGGATGGAATTTTTTGGGTGTGGTTTCGGAAGACTTGGAGTATTCTAACATGTTACATTTATCTGGCTAGATTCCAGGTCCGTCTAGTTAAAAATTTTCATAACTCTTTCAGTCTCATGTCGCTCGCAGTCCAGTGGGTCAGTCCAGTGCTTCCTTACTCCCGGTTAGTTTCGGTGTATCTGAGGTGTTTGGGATGTCGCGATCAGCTCTACAGGTCGCGCCGCCGGTCTCCTCTCATGCTGTTCCGTATTTGTGTGTCTTACAGCGAATCCTATCACATTGCTATGTTTTTCTCCGGGGTTACCAGGATTGTTAAAAATAACAAAAAGTAAGCTCTGGGATGCTCTAGGAGGCAATGACACATTTCAGCAATGGTGCGGGGCGGCATGTATCCTTTTGACATCCTCTCAAGTCATTTCGTCCGAGGTCGTCGTCCGTATGGCTACACCATCCTGGTGATATGCGTTGGCTGAGTAGTGAGGAAAACATAACCTGGCACTTACGTTTTTCACGTATCCATTACGAGGAGGGGGGGGCGGGGGACACCCGGTATTTTTTAGAAGTTATTGGCGGAAAATCACTGTGCTTTGGTGGAAAGCGTTTGGTGAAATACCAAAGACAGAATTTTTAAAAGAATGGCCGTCAGAGACTGAATTTTGAGGGAATTTTTGAGGGAACATCCTCATTCTTTTGGGTTGCCAGAGGGATTCACAGGTATGAAGAGCGAGGGGGGGG